AGCGAAGGCGGAAGCCGAAGCAAGAGCGAAGGCGGAAGCCGAAGCAAGAGCGAAGGCGGAAGCCGAAGCAAGAGCGAAGGCGGAAGCCGAAGCAAAGGCGGAAGCCGAAGCGAAAGCGAAAGCAGAAGAACAGGCAAGGTTGAAGGCTGAAGAGGAAGCAAGGGCGAAAGCAGAGGCCGAAGCCAAAGCGAAGGCAGAAGCGCAAGCAAGAGCAAAGGCAGAGGCTGAGGCTGAAGCAAAGGCCAAGGCGAACGCAGAGGCGGAAGCAGCGGCAGCAGCAGCGAAGGCAGCAGAGGCTGAAGCGAAAGCCAAAGCCAAAGCCGAGGCGGAGGCGGAGGCTGAGGCTGAAGCTGAAAGGGCCAGGATCGAGAGAGAAGAAGAGGCGGCAGCCAAAGCCAAAGCGGAGGCAGAAGCCCAGGTGAAAGCTGAAGAGGAGGCAGCGGCCAGGGCGAAAGCTGAAGAGAAGGCAGCAGCCAAGGCCCAAGCTGAAGTTGAAGCCGAGTCGGCAAGGGTCGCATCCGAGAAAGCGGCTGCTGAAGCTGAAGCTGCTGCTCGGGCCAAGGCTGAATCGGAAGCGGCAGCGGAGCGCGCACGAGTCGCTGCGCAGCAAGAGGTCGGCGAGACGGAATCTCAGACGCAAGACGGCACCGACACTGGCGCAGAACAAGTGCAGACATCAGGTGGATCCGATACAGCGGCTCGCGCGAAGCCAGCCGAAGCAGCACCCACAAAGAAGTTTAGCTTGGCCGAGAAGCTGCGTCAACGCAAGGAGGAGCGCGACCGTGCCGCCACCACCGCCGCCGCTGCTGCTGCTGCTACGTCAATGTCCCAAGTTGAAGCATCGCAAGAGCAAGCGAAACCAGCCGACAAGCCAGAACCACCTTCGGACGATGTGGCTCCAGAAGAGCCGTCTCAGACTACGCAAGACGAGGAGACAAAGCCGGATGAAGCCGCCGCAGCTGTGGCAGATGGTGGAAGCAGCGATGTGCACGACGAAGCCCAGGATGAAGACGACGAGGCCGACAGTGGTGCCAATACCCCAACTACACCTGTCACGCCTTCCACACCCAACCCCGCCAACAGCCCGGCAAAGAAGAACAAGAAGAAGAAGAACAAGAAGAAAAAGTAGCCCCAACCCCCCTTCGGCACCACTTCAAGTCCTCGCTGTCAATCTGACCTTTGCTGCCAGGCACATACACACACACACGGGAGATTGAAGCCAAGATGGGAGGATGAAAAGGAGTGTCGTGAAATTTCGTGAAACCCAAGCTTGGGCCAATGGGGGCGCATCGTGAGCGAGCAGAAGGACGGCGCACAATGAAGACGTATCCGTGCAGGCTTGCAGTGCCACCTCCTTTTGAAAAGAGAGGGAGCGCGGAGCGAGGTGCTTGCTCCACGCACTCTTCTGAGAAAACCTCACGCGCGAGGGACCACCTGTGCATCCAGTGACCAGCTAGCACTGCCAGAGTGGCAGCTTAGTTGGACGAGAGGATGGTCACCTCGACCTCGACACCGGGCTCGAGCGAGATGGAGGTGATCTGCTTGACGATCTCCGAGGGCGAGTGGAGGTCGATGAGACGCTTGTGGATGCGCATCTCAAAGTGGTCCCAGGTCTTGGAACCCTCACCGCAGGGCGACTTGCGCGTGGTGTGCGAGAGCACCTTGGTGGGCAGACGAACGGGGCCCTTGACGCGCAGCTGCTTGTCCTTGGAGCGGTTCACAAGGTCAGTGCAGACTGTCATAGAACAAAAAGAGCTGTGATATCAGCATGCTGAACGGATCTTATCTGGCAAAAGCAAAGGATGAATGCTTACCCTTCTCGAGGTTCTTGACGTTGCGCGAGGTGAGGGTGATGCGGATCTTGTGGATCTTGGCAGCAGGGGCCGAAGCATCAACATCCTTGTCCTTGGCGACGTAGCTCATCTTGGAATAGTGTAGATGGGGGGGTGGTTGAGACTGTGTGGAAAAGATGATACCAGCGGTGACCAAGGTATACTAGAAAGAGTAGTATGAGGAAGAGAAGAAAGGTGATTGGCGCAGCTGCGAGTGCAAAATTCGCAGCGCCTCGCAGCCAACGCGCCTCGGAGCCGCACCCTCGCCAACAGCCAGGCACATTTCCAGTCGCTCGCTGGCCAATCAATTCGAACTTGCCGCAGCAACCACGACTTGAATCGACAGATCAAATTTCTGTCTGTGCCAATCGGGAGATGGGATGGAAATTCACTCGCCCGGCTGAAGACCCATTTCCAGAAGAACTGGCCTTCCACCCTGGCACTTTCGAGCGCGGCTCAACGAGGCTCAAAGGCAGCGGCGAGCTGGATGGTCGGTGCACGCGCCATCACCAACGCTCGGCTTGCATCCTTACCCCCACACGTCATCATCGCGACCGCATCGAGAGGCCACTCAGGATGCTGCGCAGGACACACACAATATCGTGGCTCGTCTCGGCCCTGCTGCTGTCGTTGCTGCTGGTGTCACAGCTGGTGGCACACGCAAGCGCCGCTCTGGCCGAGCCCAAGCTGAGCTACGTGCTCAAGTCGGCCAAGCTCGCGCTCTCGACGGTGGATGGCTCGTCGCGCCTCTCCAAGGAGTTCTCCACGCACGCCGACTACGCCAAGAATGCGGCGCCCTTTGCGCTCGATTCGCCCACCCTGTTGGAGAACGACGATGTGATCCGACTCACCTTCAACCTCGGCGTCGAAGGCTCCAAGAGCGCAGCCAACAAGGAGGGCGCGGCTCTGGGCAAGGAGCACGTGCCACACCAGGCATTCGTGGTGCTTGCAGCCGACAGCAATGATGCTGAACCTGCCTCGCACGCCTGGCCCCTCACGGTCAAGCCAAGCACTGGCAAGGTCTCGTGGAATCTGGTAAGTGACGATCTTCTTTCAATACGGTCTGTGCGGGGTGCAGAAGGCTGATACTTGTCGCTATTGGATCAACAGAGGATGGACAGGATCCCAGCACCGCTTTTGCGCACCACTTCGCCGCTGACGCTGTCGCTGCTCATCGCCAACTTTGCCTCCAACTCGGGCTCGGACGGCACATACTCTCCGCTCGCACTTCCGCTCGTCTCGCTGCGTCCGCCGACGAGCCTGGCGGAAGCGGCGCTGGCATCGTCGGCAGCATCGCTGACGCCGCGCCAAAAGGCAGAGATCGAACAGGGCTTCCACGGCATCCCTGAGCACAGGCACACGTTCGGCGTGCCACCCACCGAGACCATGCCGAGCACCAAGGTGAGCGGCCTCGCGTCCGTGGTGACTGCGGTGGTGCCCTGGGTCTTCTTTGCCGCGGCGCTCGCCATCATCAAGCCCGAGATCCAGTCGCCTTCGACCAAGGCGCTCGTGCTGTTCGGTGCGCTTGTCGGCCTCGAGGGCCTGGCGGTCAGGTACTGGATCGGCATGACGCTCTTCCAGATGCTGCCGCTGCTGCTCGGTGCCGGCCTCGTCACCATCATCATCGGCAGAAGTGCGCTCGTCGAGCTGCGAAGGAAGCGCCTTGCCGTCTCTTAATGGAGGCATGACTTCGCAGTTGGCAAGTGTGTTTTCAAACAAAGAGCAGTAGAGCGTGGCCGAATGCAATTCCCTCGCATAGGTGAGAGCCATTGTGGCCGTGTGTTGGTGTAGAGCGAGACAGCCACACAGCGATGTGCACATCTGAGTGAGCCTTGCGAGTCAACTTGGGAGCTGAAGCCATGAGGAAGCCGTGGGGTTGTTCGAGTGGCAGCGTGTGAGATTGGCAACTAACTTATTCGCGCGCTCAGAGACCAACACACGCACGCATCCTGCACCTCTGCACCTTGCCATGCGCCACAAGTGCACTTTTTGGACGTGGCTTGGACCCCGAGACACTCTTGCCTTTCCACCCTGCCGCATCTTGCTTTCTACATATACCCTCGGCATACCCACTCGGCCCTTGATGAGCGCGATACCCAAATACACACATCGACCACGCCACCCAGCAACCGCACGCGCATCCGTCAACACCATTCTGGCGCCCACCAGGCTGCATCGTGCGCCATGACATCGGCGCCGTTGGCATCCGCTGACCGTCGTGTGCCCCGCGCCCGAACATCTCAGGCTCCTTCGGCCAGTGGGACGACTGCGTTTCCCGGTGCGGTACGACCATCGAGCGATGCAGACCGTGCGTCGACGAGCAATTCGAGTGCTGCTGCAGGCCCGTCCAGGCTGGCCGCGGTCCCGGCTTTCCATCGGCCCCGTCATGACGATCCAGTTCGTGCGGCACAGGAGGAAGCGACTCGCGTCTGGAGGGCCGACCTGCGCAGGCTGCTCGAACGAGCAGAGGATCGCTTTGCAGACATCTGCTGGACTACAGCTCCCGCTCCCACCCATCCTGATCATTCGGATCTCGACTCGGACCTGGGCCATTCGCTCGACCACGCCGCCGATGCGCCAGCTGCATGGTCACAAGCTGCTCCACCAATATCCAACTTGCAGCCACCGACGTCTCTTGGGCCAGCCGTCCGTCCCGCTCCGACAGGCACCCTCATCTGGGCACACAAGGCTATCCTCTATGCCCGAGCTCCCAACACCTTTCAGACTCGCTTCCTCAACCTGCGCTCTCCCGCCGCCCAGCTTCAACACATCGGCTCCACCGCCAGCCTCGTCTCGCTTCCGCTGTATCGCAGCACCTCCCAACTCTCGCTCGCTTCCGATGTGTCGAGCTCCACACAGACAGCGCCGACGCCATCGAATCTTGCAACTCAAGCGTCCATACCGACTACGTCCGTCGGTCGCGCTGGCATGCCCCCAAAACCTCGCAAGTCGATCCGAGGTGCTGCACCTCCAAGCAGCTTCTCCATGACCAAGCCTTCGCTCCGCAAACCTATCTCGCGGTCCAGCATCTCCAGACCGCTCCGCAGGGCTACAGGTGACGACACTGCCTCCATCGCCTCGGGATTTGCAACCAGCGACAGCGAGGGCGAGGCTGCCTTGCCCAGCAGCCTTCGATCCTCCCGCTTCATCAACACCCGCGCTGCAGCCCCGCCAGTCGCTGCCGCCTCGCTCTCTTCACCCTCCAAGCTCTCGCAGGCCTCGTCCGCCGCACCGGCACGCAAATCATCCTTTGCTTCGGTGACTTCAGCCACCGACTCCCGCCTCACCGCCGATAATGCCTCGATGGTCAGCGACGCCAGCACGCTCCGTGCGCCCATCAGCTTGGGAGGCGTCAGCCACGCCTTCTTCGATGCAACGCTCCAGTACCTCTACACCGGCGAGGAAGCCATGGTAGATGCATTCGAGTTCCTCTTTGAAGACCGCCTGGCACCCGACTCGCAAGCCACGCCGGAGGAGAAGCTCGACAAGCTGCGCTCGGACCTCACGTACATGTGGCGCAGCAAGCTCTATTCGGACGTCAAGATCGTGCTTGGCGACGATGATGATGCGCGCAATGCAGACGATGCCAGCATGGCTGGCGACAAGCGTCGGCGTGCGTCGAGGCTGGCCGACATTCCTGACGCAAACATGTCGGTGCTCTCGCTCGCACAGACCGTGGATACCGACCGCATCGACGAGTCGGAGGACGACGACGAGCTGACTTTGTTCTCGACGCACCGCATGATCCTTGCGTCGCGCTCCGAGTACTTTGCCTCCATGCTGCTTTCGTCGTACGCAGATGCCGGGTCGCAGGTGCTGCGTTTGCCTTCGCCGCCCTTTACGCCCGCGTCGCTGCACTTTACGCTCGGCTTCCTCTACACGGGCACGCTCTTCTTTTCGAATCGCACCTTTGATCTCGCCACCGCCTTTGCGCTCTGGCGCGCCGGCGCGTACCTGCAGATCGCGACGCTGCAGGCGCTCGTCACTGCGCTCATCGACCGCGAGTTCTGCCACGCCTTTACATGCGCGCCGCCCTGCCGCAAGTGCCTCAAGCGCGTGCCGCGCGCGCTCGCGTTTGCGGCGAGCCCCGACGTTGGCGAGCCTGCGCTGCTCGAGCCCGCCATCGCCGCCGTATCCGGGCCCCACTTTGGAATGTACTGGGCCAAGGAGGTCGGTAACCTCGACCCGCTGCTCCAGGACCGCATCGTCGACACCGTCTCGGCTCGCATGGCCGACGACCCCACGCTCGTCGTCTCGGTGCTGCGCCAGCTGTCGATCGTCGGCCAGCGCATCGACACGGAGCGCTCCAGTCGGTGGGTCGAGTCGATCCGACTCATGGCCGAGACGGTGGAGAACCGGCTGATGCCGTTGCTGCACGCGCACTTTGAGCGCATCGTCCAGAGCCGCGCATGGTCCGACCTGCTCGACGGCGTCGGCTCGCTCGGCGACGTGCTCGAAAAGAGCCTCGTCATGCTCGTCGAGGGCCTCAGCGAGGCGAGGGCGGCGCAGTTGTACCAGGTGCTCGTCGGACAAGTGCTGCTCAGGGAACAGGGCTTTGAAGTGGCGCACTACAGGCAGCTGGTCGAGACGGCGCGCGAGAGCATCGTGCGCTACCTCAAGAAACGCTGGATCAACGTGCGCGCGCTCGGCGGATTCAACCGGCTCGACAAATGGTGCCTCAAGGAGCTGGCCGACGAGCTTGAGGTGGCAACCACCGACCTTGTCCTTCCAGACACCCCGCCTAAGCCTATGGCGCCGCCAAGCAGGCTGGTCGCACGGCCCGGTGCTGCGCGGCAGTCCAGTCCAGCTGCGGGTGCGGCGGCATCCGCAAGGTCACCGGCCAGCACCCGGTCGTCGCTGTCAACCCCGCGTGCCACAGCTCCTGCCGCTACAAGTAGGCTACGGACTGCGTCGACGTCGTCGACTGCGTCTGGTGCTTCGGCCGCTTCGCCGACGGCACAGAGGCGGCTGCCTCGCGATGACGGTGAGCGCGAAGCGGGGCCCATCCACATGCGTGCCGCCGTGCTCAACCGCAACGCGGCGCGCACCTCGGTCGCCAACGGACACCGCTCGCTCTCGGCCGCGTCCGCGTCGCCGCCTGCATCAGTCACTAAGGCCGATGCCAAACCCTCGTCCGGTCCGTCTCCGCGCACCCCCAGTGCCACGCCACCAACTGTGGCCGTCCGGCCTCGAACGACGCCCGTGCGCTCGGCGTCGCAGACTTCGACGCCGGCCGCGGGTGCGAACGGCAGGGTGCGTACGCATAGCAGCTCGAGCACGGTGAGCACCACCAGTGCTGCGAGCCTGCGCGCCACCAGCCGCACCAAACCCACGCCGCCTGCACCTTCCGTGCGCCCTGCCAGTGTCGCCGGCGCAAGGAGCGCAGCCACGCCGGCGGGGGATGCAAATACGACGCCGACGAAGAGCGTGCGGCCGGTACGATCGTCTACGGCGCTATCGGCTCGACCGGCGCGTGCGGGGGTGTCTGTGGATAGCGCGCCGACGAGGAAGCCGTCGGTGCCGTCGCTGGCGGCAAAGTCGTTCCTGCGCGCCACGCCTGGTCCGGGCGGAACGTTTTCGCTCTCATCCACCGACTCCGGGCGCGAGCTGCGCGCACGCACCCTCAGCGCCGCCTCGCACAAAATCACGCCGCCCGAAGCTCACGCGCCAGCAGCAGAGGCACAGCTGGAACGCAGTGACTCGAGCACGACCATTGTGGTGCACCCCACTGACGGTACGAGTGAGCGAGGTGCGCAGACGGATGCACCGGGCCTCAGGCTCGAGATGGGTATTGCCTGCATCGTGTCGCTCGATTGCGATGGGGCGGCACACAAGGTGCGTGCGCTCGTGCGCTACCTCGGCCGCGTCCCCGACCACACCGGCGTATGGGTGGGCGTCGAGCTTCGTCTCCCCGCAAAAGGATGCCACGCAATCAGGCTCGCAGACGGCTGCCTCGACGGCGTACGCTACTTGCCGCCTCACCGCGTCAGTCCGACCGAGGACGAAGCTCGGAGAGAGCGTCGCCGACAGCTCTGGCATCAAGTATGCCCGCACACCGCATTTCCAGACCCCGACCCCGCGCTAGCCACGCAAGATGAGCAGGATCAGGTGCTGCTGCCAGCTCAAAGTGTAGTCTGGGTGATCCAGTAACCCCTCCGCCAATTGATACCCGCTTCTTCTCAATCACACGATGTGGTGTAAAGTGAGAATGGGTTTTGCAGAAGAAACACATGAAAATGAAGACGAAAGACGATAAACAGGCGGTGTATGCATGCGGGGGCTAAGAAGGGCGGTTAGGTTTGACAGTCGAAGCGAGGACATCGCGGGCGTAGCGGAGTTTGTTGACGAGGCCTCGCACCTTCCTCCTCTCTGCGGGGCGGGTCTTGTATAGGGTTCGATCGGTGGTGTTTGACATTTGGGCTTCCCTAGCGGAGCGGTCGGTCCTTGCGATGCTGACAAACTCATCCAGACTCCACGAAGTCATGCGAGGCACGCCACCGGTCTTGTCGAGCGGTTCGATGACGCTCACGACCTGCGCGCCGTGCGTGAGGAAGAGCTTGGTGTGGTCGTAAAAGTTGAGCTGGACCGTGCCGTTGCTGAGGCGGAAGACGATGGCGTCCTTGGTCTTGTACCACTTGTGCACAAACACCATACCCGACGTGCGAGCCGTGTCACAAAAGGTGAGTGGAGAATCGGCGCCGTACAGACGATCCATGATCTCCTTTTCGAAGTAGCGCATGACGCGGACGCGCGACTGCAGCTCACGGGGGACACTGCCTTCTTCCCCATCGCCGGTGGTGAAGTTCTCCCGCTTCAATTGGTCGGTCCGAACCCCTCCCGCTGGCTTGCGGATGGTCGAGATGTAGTCGACGTACATCTTGCTGGCGGCTAGCACCATGCTCGTAGCATCGCGGAAGTACACTCCCACCGTACCGTCACTCAGAGCGTAGCCAAGGCCATAGCGCTCGGAATGGTCGAGCCAGGAGATGAGGAAGGTGCGTGGCGATTCGGCCACCAGACGTGTGCCGTTGAGATCGCACGATGTCTCGACGTAGCGCACCGTATCGGCCGCCGAAGTGGCGGGCGCATCGTAAGGCTCGTTCGCATCGATGCACGTCAGCGCCGAGTCGAGGTGTGCGATAATCACCTCGATCGACGTCTTGGTCTTCTTGGCTCCCGGTGCAAGCGCACTCGAGCTGCCCACGGAAGCGAGCGTGCCGCGAGACGAGGAAGGCACCATGGCCTGCTCGGCCAGCGTGCCCATGGACGACGCCGTCGACAGCGGCCGCGTCGGCAGCGACCCTGGCGCCGCAACCGACGTGACGAGTCGCGCCTTCTGCTGCAGCGCGCGCGCGTTGTCGTCGTCCACGCCCGCATTGGCATTGCGCGAGTACATCCTGCCGAACTCTGGCCTCGCGGCAGCGGCGGGCGGAGGAGGCGCCATGGGGTTGGCATTCTCCTTGTCCGCCACTGCCGGCTGCGTGTGACGCGAGAGCGTGAGCGAAGACAGCTGTTTCGCCAGCGAGCTCGCCGTGGACCGCGCCAGACTCTGCGGCGGAGGTGCAGGCGCTTTAATGAGCGGCTGTCGTCCAGCCTTGAGCAGCGCCGAGATGGGGCTCTCGGGCTGGATAGCGTGATGCGCCTCGCGGTCCATCTTCTCCCTCCTCTCCTCGGCATGTTCGGCCTGCTCGAGCTCGCTCCTCGCGTCGAGCACCACCTCGACGGGCTCCTGCGCATCCGCATACGCCTCGCCGGCAGCGGCAGCGTCCTCGAGCAGATCATCGGCCCGGTCGTTCCAGTTGGCCTGGCGCTTGAGCATCTCGAGATTGCGCGCCGATTCGCGCGCCGTGACGGGCGGCAGGAACGGCGTACCCTCCAGCGCGGTCGGAGGGATAGTCAGCGGCACAGGCCCACACTGGAACCACGGGTGGTTCATGATCTGCACCAGCGTCGGTCGCTTGGCCGGATTGTGCGTAAGGATGCGCGTGATGAGATCAACCGCCTCGTTGCTCAGCCCGGCCTTGGCAGGAATCTCGTAGGCGTTCTTGCGGATGCGCTCGTAGATGTCGTCCACCTTGGGCGTCTGGAACGGCGGCTTGCCCACCAGCAGCGTATACAGGATCACACCCACCGACCAGATGTCCACCTCGAAGCTGTGCCCCTGTCCCTGATCGTACAGAATCTCGGGCGCAATGTAGTTAGGCGTGCCGCACACGGTCTTTTTGCGTTCGTCCGGATGCTTGAGCAGCGCCGCCAGACCGAAATCACCGATCTTGACGTGCATGTGTTGGTCGAGGAAGATGTTGCCGAGTTTGAGGTCGCGGTGGATGATGCTGTTCTGGTGGAGGCTCTGCGTGCCCGCCAGGATCTGGACCATGAGGTATCGTGCCTCGGGCTCGGTGTAGGGCCCGCGCTTCTTGACAATGTCGTTAAGCGAGCCATTGCAGCACAGCTCGAGTCGGAAGTAGACGTTCTCGTCGTCTTCGAAGCAGTCTTCGAAGTTGACCACGTGGATGTGGTTGACCGACTTGTGGATCATGATCTCGGCAAGCACCTTTTGACGGCTCTTGCGCGAGTGGATGATGGCCGATTTGGCAATCACCTTGAACGCCTTCTGGCGACCCTCGGGATCGGTAGCCATGTATACCCTTGCGAATCCACCCTAACGCGCGCAGAAACAAAAGTGTCAGCCAACAGAACTGCGATGGAGACGCGAGAATGCAAACGACGACTTACCTGGCCGAGAAGATCGCCTCGCTTGAAGTGACGGCCGTCCGAGTCGATAATGACTCTCGGGGGAGCGGGCAGGGGAGGTTTTTTGGATTTGGATGATGCAGAGGCGGTGGTCTTGGCGGCGGGCCGTGGCGCTGCGGCGGTCTTCTGTGATGCTAGCGTGGATGCAGGGCGGGGCCTTGCAGGCAGCGCCGAGGACGCGGGTGGCGCTGTAGGACGGACATAGCTGGGATAAACAGGGATCTGGTGGCTCGGGGCGGGTTGCGCGGTGGCCATCGTGGATGCCGTTGCGCCGAAGCGGAGGAGAGCGTAGGGTAGGTTGCTGGATGGAGTGTGCGTTAGAGCGTGCAATAAGGGGATGCAAATGCTAGCGTGATATCGATGCGAATGCGGATGATGCTAAGAGCGTATTTTGGCTCGGGGAGGTCCAAAGTGTGCGACCCGTGGTGAGCGCCAAGTCGAGCTCGCGACTGGGAGGGGGATGAAGATGCCGAGAGGGCGGCGGCGGGGGTGATGGCGAGCAGGAGAGGATGCTTGAGGACGACAAGGTGGAGAGATGTGTGGGGAGAGGAAGGAGGCTGTGGTGAGCTTGACAGAGCGGCAGTCGGCTGTGACAGCAATCGACACAAGTGCCCGCCTGGAGGAGCAGTAAATACCGACTTTTGCGGAAAAAAAAGGTGACGCTGGTGTGCAGTGAGGTGGGGTGGGCGTACGCTCCGAGTGTTTGTGCGTCAGCTGTGCCGGGGAGAGGCAGGCTGCAGCTCATGCATGTGCAAAGGCAATCAACGCAGTCGAGCTCGGCAGGCTGTACCTGACGCTCGTTGTGTGCGTCAGGCTGGGCGGAATGCTGTGTAGATTCACGACAAACATTGCAGTCGAACCGTATACGCAAGACACTGTGGATTCAACCTGCGCCCTCCCGTTCGGCTAGCAAGCCTTTTCTCCACCGAGGCTTGTGATTGCTTTCCGATCCTGTCCTCCTTTTTGTTCTGGCAGTCTCATCCCCATGCTCCTGCTTCTGCGGTCAGACTTGTCCTTCAGAAGTGAAAGGGCAGGCGTAATATCGGATGGCCATGTTTGACAGCAATGAGCACAGGCCAGTGCGAGCGTCGCACAATCCCAGTCGCGCCGGGATTTTGTTTTTTCTTCGGCTTGGCAGGCTAGAGACGCGCCCAGCTCGCATTCGCATCACGTGCAGGTGAGCGCTTGAGCAGTCTAACATCTTGATGCTGATTTTTTTTTGCTCCACCTCCACAGCGCATCGGCGTCTGGCCGAGACGAAGTGGTCCCGCAGGAGGCCGCTCTTCCTGCCGGAGGTTGGCCGGTGCCTCGGCGGCTCCGCGGAGCTTGCCTTTGCTGTCGCCGACCCCGCTCCCTCTTTGCTCATCCAAGCATGCTAGGGATCGGCAAAGTCTCGGTAGCAATGACCATGTGGTTGGTCGGCAGCAACCGAGCTTCCCCTCTTGCTACTCCGATCCGACGTGGCTCAGTCCGCTCGACGCCTATATAACCACACCTCTCCCTTGTGCCTTCATCTGCAATCCCTCACATTCAAGAATCTGTTCACAATGTCGACTTCGCCCATCCCAACCATCGCGCTCGGTGGCAGCGCCAGCCACATCAACGTCGGCCGCATCGCGTTCGGATGCATGGGCATGACTTGGACCGACCCGGCCAAGATGACGCCCGATGCCGAGGCGTTCAAGACGATCAAGGCCGCCGTCGATGCGGGGAGCAACTTCCTCAACACTGGCGCCTTCTACGGCCCGCCCAGTGACCCTTACGCCAACCTAAAGCTGCTGCGCCGCTTCTACGACGCTCACCCGGAGTACAAGGACAAGACTGTGCTCTCCGTCAAGGGCGGCATGGACACCCCTGCCTACCAGGCCAAGGGCATGGCTGGTCTCAAGGCCGACGCCTCGGTTGAGGCACTCGAGAAGGACCTGCAAGCCATCCGCCAACACCTTGGCACCGACGAGGGCGGCAAGAACATCGATGTTTACGAGGTGTCTCGTCGCGACACCAGCATGTCGGTCACCCAGGCCATGCTCAACATGCTCTCGCTCTCCACCCAGACCTACACCGATGCTGAGGGCAACAAGGTCACGGGCAAAGGGCTCTTTGACCACATCTCGCTCTCGGAGCTCGGTCTGGCGTCGATTCAGGAGGCGGTCAAAGCCGCACCCGTTGCTTGTGTTGAGCTGGAAGTCAGCCCGTGGGAGCTCGAGGTCTTCACGTCCGGCATCGTCGAGTTCTGCGAGGCCAACCATCTGCCCATCCTCGCCTACTCGCCCGTCGGAAAGGGTCTGCTCACGGGAACGATCAAGTCCGCAGCCGATATTCCAGAAGGAGACGTACGTAGCCACATGGACCGTCTCAACAAGGACAACATCGCCAAGAATCTCGAGCTCGCCAACGAGTTCGTCCAGCTCGCCGAAAAGCAGTCGCCGAAGGTCACACCCACCCAGCTCGGTCTCGCGTGGCTCATGGCAAGCAGCAAGGTCATGATCCCACTGCCGGGCACCACCAAGGCTTCGAGGGCCAAGGAGAACGCAGAGGCGGCTGCCATCAAGCTCGACGATCAAACCAAGAACGAGCTCGATCAAAAGGTCAAGCAGTTCAAGGTCGCTGGTGGAAGGTACAACGAGGCGGCGCGCAACAACTTTGCGCTCATGGGATAGACTCTCGCAAACTCGTACATTGTTCTGCTGCCATCAGTCTTGTTGAAGGCCTGTCCGTGTGTGGGTCTTGAACGTGCTGCTCTTCGAAGTTGTTGTGCCGGCGAGTTCATTTTTGAGCCGCGTTTTTAGAGCCCCTTTTTCTGCGCTTTGTTTTTTGACGCCTGAGTACCGCGAGTGGTCTTCGGCTTTTCAAAGTGCCGCTGCGAAAAGTTGGCGTCGGTTCGGATCTCGGGCGAGGTGGAGAGAGCGGCGCTTCATTGCGACCCTCGGCCCTGCACCTACGCTCTACTCTTTCCCCTACGTCCACCGAGACCTATTCGACAGCATGGCTTCGACCTCCTCATCCACCGTATACGTGGGCAACCTCGCGGCGCATCTAGACGAATCCGCACTCGCCGAGGCCTTTGCGCCGTTTGGCGACATCGTCTCGGTCTCGCTTCCCACCTCGGCACCTTCCGGCTCGGCACAGAGGAGGAACAAGGGCTTTGGCTTTGTCACGTTCAGCAGTCCAGACGACGCGCTCGATGCGCTCGACAACATGCACCTCAATGCGCTAACCGGCCGCACTATCCACGTCAAGCTCGCCGACAAGGAGCAGCCCAAACAGGCGTCAAATCGAGCCGTATGGACAGACGAGGTAAGTTTCAACTCCCGCATAACCTGGAACGTTGCAGCGAATGCTGATGAAGTATGATCGGTTACAGGAATGGCTGAAGCAGTACGGCGGTGCGGAATCGACGGAACAAGAAACAGAGACCAAAGACGAGGCAGCAACATGAATCCAAGACCAGCTACAAAACCGTTCTCTGCGTCTGTGACCATCATCCCGCGTCGACGCAAGGTGGGATGCAAGCCTACAGGTGGGGCGTACTGGTGGCTAGTCGGGAGGCAGCATTGAGCAGCTGCTTCTCGGCTTTCAGCAGCTCATGCGCAAGCAGGAAGCGTTCCGACTCGGCCTGGGATAGCTGGCTCGTCAAACTCGTCGTATCCGCCTCGACCGCGTTGAGCACGTTCGTGATCTTGGTCGACAGCGCGCTCAGTGCCGTCTTGTGCTGCGCGCGCACGTTGTCAGGATGCAGTGCTGTCTGCATCTCCCACTTGGCCGTATTTCCTGCCTCTTCCATCACCGCGAACAATCCGCCTTTACAAAACTCCAACCTGGTCAGCTTCCAACTCGGCCATTTATGTCGGAGAAGGGGCACGCGGGGGGGGGGGGGG